AGCTACGACTAGTTAGAATGTAATTTTATTTTTCTATCAATTCTCAAAACCGCTCCCTTGGGACATGACCCCAACCTTTAGTTGGGTTCCTATACTATCGACGATCGTAGACACTTATACTGTAGGTTAGTATCGTTGGTCACGATAAGCATCAGGTAACTAGGCCAACTATGTCTTCTGAGGAGCAGAAAATGTTGGGACAATTCATCATATTAGGACCTCTCAGGTTCTTAGGTGTTCCGAGCGAAAATGCCCACGAGTTTCTAATCACTTGTCAAGAGAGGTTGCATAACCTCGGGTTAGTGGAGTCTCATGGGGGATTACACTACTTTTCAACTAGATGGGTCAGCAAAACAGCATTGGAGGTCCTATCTTGAGTATAGGCCAGTCAGGTCACCTTTGTTGACTTGTGCTTCACAGCCTAAGGGAGCGGATGAGCTCACAGACTTGACTCGGGGATCTATGTTTGTTTCTTACTATGAGACACAATTCCATGAGTTATTTTAGGCAAAATAAATATGTCTCTTTCTAACTGTTAAGCAATTATTTTAGACAATCGTTAAACTTTCAGCCACGTATGTATACACATTTTTTAAAGTAATTGTGGAATCTTGGCGAGCAACCAACTACCACGATTTGTATCCTTAGCAGACTGAAATTGCTTCAAGGCAATGACTTACCACGATAAAATATTTATAATAAATTATTTACTATTTTATAATTTTTGTCAAATATCAATAATATACTCTCTTTTTTCAACATAACGCTTTAATCATTTCTCGGCATAATAAATTTATCACTTAAATTGTTACATTTCCGCGATAAAGTGAATACTTATTCCTCTAATGGAAGACTATTATAATAATTCAGTTAAAATTTTAATAACATAATATAACTATTACATCAAAGTTATAAGGAGTAAAAACTAATTCATGTAAAAGATAGAGCTTGATTAAATTTGTTAATATTCGAAGACAATTATAATATATTTCTTGATTAATTGAAATACTCGAACTCATATATATATATACCAATATGACAGGTAAGATTTCACTTAAATAATATTTAAAACAAAGAGTTATATATCTTTTCATTTCAAAAGATTAATTCAAAACATATTCTTTATATTTTCAATTTCCTCATTTACTCACGTGATTTCATATCATATCATCATCATCGTTATTACGATAAAGGAGAATTGTTTTTTACCTTTTTTTTGTCTATCCTATATGATATATAATTTCACTTTTCTCGTGCATTAACTAATATTTTTATCTTAATAGTTGTCAATTTCTCTTAGCAATCATATAAAGCGAGAATTCAAAAACGTATTTATTAATATACTAATATTTTTCAATTTATTTGTTGACTATCAAAAATAACACAAATATTATTGTATATCCATTTGAATTTCAATGTAGTGAGACTTACGACCTAAGACTAAAAAATTTCATTGAAGAAAATTCGCAATAGAGTAAAACTTTTTGCGTATGTCAAGAAATACAATTCATTTTTCCGCAAATAGTAAACACAAACAGTAATTTTGATGAAGTCCCAAAATTAGACGAAGTACACTCCAATCTTGTTGAACACTACTCATTTAGCTCCCCAATGAAGTAACATTCATAAAATTCTCCTTAACCATATATAAAAGAAAAGATGATAAGTATCAGAAACCAATCTTTGATCAGATGAAGGAGTTTGGAGTGGATATAGCTTAAGACATATTTTGTGTTGTTATATCTGTGAAGTAATGATGAGTACTTGATATGACTTACTCTCTTTTTTATGGCTATTTACCTCTGAAATTAGTTAAAAGATGGTGAAAAATATTTTTTTGTGTATGAAAAAAATGAGCATTTAAAAAGACACATGCACACTTTGACTTACCATATTCTTTATTAAATACTTCATTAAGTATATTCAATTAACAATGACCATTCAAATATATTTATACTAATAAGATAAATAAAGTGTAATCATTCAGATATACACTTCATTTTATAAATATATCCAACATATTACTTATAATAAATTAATTGCAACTCTTCAAAACTTTTTATTATTATTTTGGACAGCATGATAACATCTTAAATATTCATTAATCAAATGAATTAAAAAAACCACTAAGTTAAATGATTATATCATCGTATTAGCATCAATAAAAGAAATTCTCAATAATATATATATATGGTAAATGAATATGTGTTCATACAAGAATGAACATTATTTACGGTTCCTTCAAAATTCATTAATAAACTATAAAACTAAAATAATAATTCATCTATTTTAAAAGAAGCAAAATATATTCAAGAATTCAATAAATCATAGAAATTAAAATAGCAAATTAAATTTAATTAAAATGCTCAATTTACAAATTAAGACAATATCCAGCCAACAATATATAAAATTTTGTTCTTGCCAAGTATGAAAGTCCATTGAAAATTTACCACCAGCACATAGCCATACAAATATAAATGAAAAATAAAGATATCAAACTATGAAAAGTAAAAAAAAAAAAGAAGCAAAGAGTACATTCGAATTGTGGTGAATAAATAAGCTTCATTACAACAAAAATAGAAAACATAAAAAAGTTATAAATTAGATAATTTAATTTAAAGTCGATAAATGAGAAAAAAAATAGAGAAAACTATAAAAAAAAAAAATTACGAACAATAAAGAACTTATATAAAGTACAAACACAGCTAAAATTTTAATCCATCAATTTATCTTCGTGATCAGATCTCTTCATTTAGACAATGCCTCAAATTACTTGAGTTAATATATTTATAAAAGTAAAGAAAAAATGGGAGAGACCAAATAGTATTCCTGATAAATGTTATTTAATTATTACTCCCTCTGTCCAATAATAGTTGTCTACTATTGACTTGGCACATCTCTTAGGTAATATTACTATATTATTCTTTGACTTTATTAAATTTAGTGTCTTGAAAAAATGTGTTAGATGATAAATAATATTTAATAGTAAGGATAAAATAGACACAAAAGGTAAATTATCTCTTGATTTTCTAAATTGGACAAGTATTGTTGGACAACTATTTTTAATATACTAAACAACTATTGTTGGACGGATGGAGTATATGATAATTTGATTTCTTGTTTACTTAATATTCTGAGAGAAGAAGAAATATTTGGTTAATGCACTAAATTTTTATGGCATTATATAATTTTTTAAGAATATAAATAATGTATTGCTTGGTTGATACATAAAATTTCAGGTCAATATCTTTTTATTTACCTCATTCATTTATATTATTGTCATGTATGAGAAAGTAATGCAATGTATTTGACCTTTTATATTCAATGCTGCCCTAACTAAAGAATTCAAGTGCAGTTATTGAACTTCAAATTCTGTCATAATGTAATTAAAATATTAGTATTTGATTAACTATTTATTTAGTATAGAGATAATCTAATTTTATATTTTTGAGGTTTTTACTTTTAATAATATATGATGATATATATGATATATGATGTATATACCAAATAAAGAAAAATTAAGAATTTTTTTCACGATTTGAAAGTCCTTATTTTTTCGGGGAAACTAAGCAAATACCCCACTAAATAATTGATTAATGAGTAATTTCTAAACAAGAAACATTAATGATATCAATACAATATATATATATATGATTAGGGTATTTCTTGAATTACTTTAGGATTGAGGTATGAACATGTAATTGTTTTGAATTTTATGGCCAATTTATGTAATATTTCCTTATTAATCATATTATTTATATATATATATATATATATATATATATTAGGTGACTATATATAAAGACAACTATTTTTAATATACTAAACAACTATTGTTGGACGGATGGAGTATATGATAATTTGATTTCTTGTTTACTTAATATTCTGAGAGAAGAAGAAATATTTGGTTAATGCACTAAATTTTTATGGCATTATATAATTTTTTAAGAATATAAATAATGTATTGCTTGGTTGATACATAAAATTTCAGGTCAATATCTTTTTATTTACCTCATTCATTTATATTATTGTCATGTATGAGAAAGTAATGCAATGTATTTGACCTTTTATATTCAATGCTGCCCTAACTAAAGAATTCAAGTGCAGTTATTGAACTTCAAATTCTGTCATAATGTAATTAAAATATTAGTATTTGATTAACTATTTATTTAGTATAGAGATAATCTAATTTTATATTTTTGAGGTTTTTACTTTTAATAATATATGATGATATATATGATATATGATGTATATACCAAATAAAGAAAAATTAAGAATTTTTTTCACGATTTGAAAGTCCTTATTTTTTCGGGGAAACTAAGCAAATACCCCACTAAATAATTGATTAATGAGTAATTTCTAAACAAGAAACATTAATGATATCAATACAATATATATATATATGATTAGGGTATTTCTTGAATTACTTTAGGATTGAGGTATGAACATGTAATTGTTTTGAATTTTATGGCCAATTTATGTAATATTTCCTTATTAATCATATTATTTATATATATATATATATATATATATATATTAGGAGTCAATATAAATTAAATAATGTTTAAATGAAAAAGAAAAAGAAAAAGAAAAAGAAATAAATATAGTAGGTGGAAAGAAGGAGTATGATATATTTGTTGAAAGGTACGCGTGTCAATATGGGTGTTTGTTAGTGTTGTAGTAGCTTCTTCCTTGTATTGTTTGTATGTATGTATGTAAGTTGCGGGATTGTTGAATCTCTAACAACTCTTTATTTATTATAATAATACTCATATCATATAATCCATTAGTGACATTATTAGTAGGTGAAGTGAAGTGAAGTGAATTCACATTGTTTGTTTGATATGGAATTGAATGATGGGAAGAAGATAAAGATAGGGGTTTGTGTAATGGAAAAGAAGGTGAAAAGCGGCCCGGAGGTTCTCTTCTTTCATTTGTTTTTGTTTCAATTTCTCACCAATCACCATGCACACCACCATTAACACTCATTTCGCAGGTATTTTCTGCTCCCATGGGACAGATTCTTGATAGATTAAACTCATTTGGCGAATTTCAGGTAATTTACATTTCCCTTTTTTTTCATTTCTATTGTATATCGATTGATTACATGTACATGTAGGTAGTGCATTTTGGGGACAAAGTTATTCTCAACGATCCAATTCAGAGGTACTTTAATTATTCATTCTACAATATTCTCAATTCCTAGCTATTTAATTACTACTTCTTTGTATTTGCAGCTGGCCCTGTTGTGATTGCTTGATTGCCTTCCATTCCACTGGATATCCTTTGGACAAGGTTGAACAATATGCTGCATTGAGAAAGTATGTAACTATTTTCTCCTTCTTCCTTTCCTTGTCAAATTTAAACTACTCTCTCAACTATCTATCTGCTCCTCTCTCTTAGGCCTTTCCTTGTCAATGAATTGGAGCCCCAACACCTTCTTCATGATCGCAGAAAAGTATATGAGGTTCCTACCTCAACCTTTTTTATGTTTATGTTCATGTTCCCCCATTATCCTGTTGACAACCCCCCTCCCAACTTACCTTGTATAAAAGCAGTGACTTCTTGCTTTTTGCATCTCCATAAAACCAGCACATAATTTAGACACTTTTTCATTTATTGCTTTGATTTGTGGGATTTCAGCATCTAGAGATGTTTGGGATCCCGGTTCCCAGATATGCTTGCGTTAATAGAGAAGTGCCTTATCAACAACTGGATTATTTTGAGGAAGAAGATGACTTTGTCCAAGTTCATGGGAATCGCTTTTGGAAACCTTTTGTGGAAAAGCCTGTTGATGGTCAGTTTTCCTGCCTTGCAAGGATTTTGTAAGCTGTTTGTTTAGCTTAATATATCATTTGCATTAGAACTGCAAAGAAATAGACTGGAATACATCAAAAGGAAAAACTCATATTTTTGTGTTCCTTGAAAATTTTGAGAAATAAATAATTAACTCAAACAGTGGGATACACATTGATGCCTCTTAGTTAAGTTCCGCTTTGATGAGAAACCAAAACTGTACCATATTATATTATGTTGTAACTGCTAAATGGAGTTTGAAAAGTTCAATTTGATTTGAACTTAGACCTCAAGTCTATTACTTATATCTTATGACTGCTATCAGAGTGCAGGTTTCTCTAACTGTTAGAATTTGCTTTCGCATGTGCCGCATTTCTGATGTTATGCAAATACCATTTACCGTGTCTTATGCAGTCTCTCATTGTTTGAGTAGGTGATGATCACAGAATAATGATATATTACCCTAGTTCAGCAGGCAGCGGAATGAAGGAATTGTTCCGAAAGGTAAAAATTAAAAAATGACATTGTTTTTTGCACAAAAATTTGAAATTGCTTTGGCAAACTTCCTTTTGAGTCAGACACTGCAGCTCCTCTGTTATGACTATTCTGCAAATGTTCATGTATTATTTAATCAACCACTCTCCTGTATAGAAACCCCTAAATCCTAATGGGTGATTGAGGATGATCTGTCCTGATTCAGTTAGTTGTCTTTAGCTGTGGCTTGGATGCAAGTATTTTTATTCTAAAAATTTCAAGAGAGATTTAGACATTTTTCTCGAAAAGAGGTGCATTTGTCTGCTTTGCAGTTATAACCTCAATTTCTTTATACATTTCCAGGGTAATCATTCCGGAGAAGGATTTGATATGTTCCGCAACTTAAATTTTTCTTTCAACATCACTGAAGATACTTAGAGAGATGGATTTTTCATTTCTTTCATTGGGATAGTGTCAAGACTTATTTCAGTTTCCTGCTTCTCCTTTGGCTTCATAGGCTTCTAGGTGTCTACTTGTGACATTTCTTTTGTACTGAAAATTATGAGAGAAAAAAATTGTAATCCTGAAGCGAGCGTCTCCTTGTCAGTTGCTTATCTGTAATAGCAGGATTCATATCTTTTAAAAACATTGCAACTTTTAACAATTGAAGTTCTCTTATTAAATCATCCATATCCTCCACCATAGTTTATGACAATTTGTCGGATTTATACTTGACGATAGATTTGATAGTATGTTGTACATGCAATTCGGTTTGATGTTCTTTAACTTCTTTCTTTTTCTTCAGGTTGGTAACCGCTCAAGTGAGTTCCATCCAGATGTTAGAAGAGTGAGACGTGAAGGATCATACATATACGAAGAATTCATGCCTACAGGAGGAACAGATGTTAAGGTTCCTAAGTTTATTTTTTGGTATCTTAGAGTGAATGAGCTTAACTGTCATTGGCAATTAAACTTGATTTTCTTTTTATGGTGGGTAGCATATCTCAGGTATTATTATGTCTGGCATAAAGATGTTAGTGGGCCCATAATTTTTTGAATTCTTTTTGTTGGATAGTAGATGCTGTGAGGAGAAATTGTAATTAGATTAAACATTGATGTAATACATGACATGGGATGATATAATTAACCATACTTTATCAATACTTGAAATTGTGGCACACTTGATCCCTCTATACATGTTTAATAAGCACTGTTAGCTTTTCATTAATTCTAAATTGTGAAAAAAAAAATTGAGAAGGAAACAAACATTAAAGATGGTAAAATATTTTAGAGGGAAATAGGCTATAAAGAAATCTCAAGGAAAAATTAAAAGAAGGGATAATGAGCTAAAGTAGGAGATAGAGTAGAGACAAGGCTAATTTTTAAGAACTTGGGTGGTACTTTTGGTTATATATTCTGAAGAGATCGATGGAGCAAGGAACACAAGTTTTTTGGACTCCGGGAATGTCTATAGTGGAGATAGTAACTTCTCAATATTTCCATGTTACTGGTCTCATAGAGCTAAATGCAAGTCCAATAATTGTATCCGGGAGTAGCCATCATGAGATGGTGACTTTTTAAAATTTCCATGTTTCCTTCGATATGTTCTTTCCTATAGCTTCTTCCCAACCCTCACAGTCCCCAAAAAGGAAAGGTAAAATGACAGAAAACCATACCCTCATATACTGATCTCATTTATTTATAGTAAGAGCTAGCAACTTTTTCCATCTACATCTTAGCTCCCATGTGTTTACCTCTTGGACTCATAAGGGATCTTCATTAGAGAAAACTTTATGGAAATCCTTTTTCACAACTTTGCTCGTGATGTGCGCATATCCTTGATCTTTTTTTTATTAAATTTACGTAGGTGTATACTGTTGGCCCAGAATATGCACATGCAGAGGCAAGGAAATCTCCGGTTGTTGATGGAGTTGTGATGAGAAATCCTGATGGAAAAGAAGTTAGTAATTTCTTCAACTTATCATCGGCAACTTTTGAAGTCCGCGTTTTGTCCGTTCCTTTTTTTTTTGTCAATATCCTGAGGCACACAGGCAGAGAAGAAAAGGAAAATAACGGTGATATCATCTTTTTATTTACTGTGTGCATTTGGCTCAGGAGACAGAAGTAGTTTTGACAAAGTAATAACTTATTGATGTGGGAAATTTCCCCATGTACAAGGCTCATGGAGAAACGTATCATGTCCCACTTAAATGTCTTTTGTATATAAGTATATTTGTCAAAGTACTGATCTTTTCCTCTAGCAGCAGATATGTGCTTATATTTGGCTACACGTTCAAAGTTGCTTCATTTTGCAGGTCAGGTATCCTGTTCTATTAACCCCTTCAGAGAAGCAAATGGCAAGAGAAGTTTGCATAGCTTTCAGGCAAGCTGTAAGTCACTTAAGTCTTCCAATATTTTTCCACAACATCTGGAAATATGAAGTTAGATACTTCTCATCTGGTCTTCATGCTTATACTGTGGGTGTATATTCTATCTCAAAATGGGGTAAAACTTTGCTCCAGTTCTCTCTAACCATTGGCGGAGCCTTAATTTGTGGCATGTGAAGGATCATCCAACTGCTGACGATAGATGATACTAGTCCCCCCAGCTATAATACAGTTACTTGACTGATTTCTTACTTTGCTGTTTATATTATTTAGAAATACGTGAATATTTGTTGAATTGTTTCCCGGACCTCTAAACTGAGGCATACTATGCTGGCAGTTTTCGTTTGATGGTGTTGTAGACTACATTGATGGAAAAGAAAAGGATGACAATTTCTCTTCCTTTTGTTTAGGTTTGTGGCTTTGATCTGTTGCGTTGTGAGGGGCGTTCTTATGTTTGTGATGTGAATGGCTGGAGCTTTGTGAAGAACTCTTACAAGTAATGTTTACGATGCTTCATATTCTTCACCAACAAGAAAGTAAATGAGGAAACTTCCTGTCCAGTCTATTTACTGTTTCGCTTTTCAGCATTACTCCTTTCAGCTTCTTAATACAAAATGGAACATGTATCTTATGCCCTAATTGGCAGAAAAAGAAAATGGAGAAAGTAAAATGGAATCTCTTCCTTAAATGGAAGGGAGAAATCAATGACTGGATGGGGTATATAAAATATGCCTTTACTGGGGATAAGATTACTGAAATAAAGGTGAAAGTAATCGTCTACTTCCTCTTGAATCTGAGATCTCAAGATATATTAACCATCAGAGAGAACTTAATTCTGTACATCTGTAATGTAACTGATTTTTTAAAATTCCCTTCAAGAGATATCATAATCCTCGCGAATGATGCTTTATCTACTTTCACATAATGAAATTCATACGGGCTCCTACCAAATGGAGTACAATAATGACCAGTACTAAGTAGGATAAATGACACCCAAAAACAGGTAAAAAGATAAAAAAAGAAAATGTTGAAACCTAACCTATGTGTTAAGAGAATATGTCAACATCAATGTGTTCACTTGTAGTTTTTATCCTGAACAAGGATTTAAAGATTTATGTGCTTGATTGGTTTAAGACCTTGTGTTCTGCCCCATATATGTTTTGACTGCACATCCCTTTCTCAGAGTGGTACTCCCAATGGTAAGAGCTAGATTTTATAGTTGAAGATTTCATTCATACCTGTATCATGAGTTCTAAGTTAAAATATTTTTCTTGATATTTTGATTATTGTTGGTCGTGTTTTCATTATTAACATTATCATTACTGTCATGGAGTACAGCAGAAGTTGTAGCACTATAGTGTCATCATCTGTACCCACATTATTGTTTCGGTTCTAAAAGGGAGTTATTGCTATGATGTCTGAGAACAGGTACTATGATGATGCGGCGTGTGTGTTGAGGAAGATGTTTCTAGATGCAAAAGCTCCACATCTTTCATCCACGATACCACCAACTTTACCATGGAAGGTTAATGAACCTGTTCAGCCTTCTGAGGGACTAACACGTCAAGGAAGTGGGCTTATTGGCACATTTGGACAATCAGAGGAGCTTCGATGTGTAATTGCAATTATTCGGCAGTAAGACATACCTGTTTTCTTCATTTCCTTTGTTGCCAAAAAACTTTTAGTTTCCTCTTTAATCATTCTCAATTTGTGCAGTGGTGATAGAACTCCAAAACAGAAAGTGAAGTTCAAGGTCACTGAGGAAAAGCTCTTAAATTTGATGTTAAAATATAATGGGGGAAAACCAAGATCTGAGGTGCTTCTTTGATTTTCGTTGTCCTATCTGCTTTTTAACTATATTCCCGATGTTTTAGAGTACAGTATTGTTATTAACTCTCCACAATCTGCTGCAGACAAAGCTTAAGAGTGCCGTGCAATTGCAAGATCTTTTGGATGCCACCAGAGCTCTAGTACCACGTACTAGGTAAGTAAAACTTATTGTCATTCTTAATAGAAGTTCTATCTCATTAATTTCTTAAACTCATATTTTGCTATTGCCTTCTGCTTTTGATCTTCATCCCCAAACCTGGATAACATCAGCACGTTTCACCTATAGCTATAAGAGTAATTATGAAGACTATTAACCTGATAAATAATAGTACTTTTTATCTGGACCTCACTTGTGAGATTACACTAGATATGCTGTTGTATCAACTTGACAGATTTTGGCTTTTAAAGATGTACAACATTGGTTCTGAGATCAATTAAAGAGGACTGACTATTAAACAATGTTTATACTGATTATCATCCAGGCTTTAATTTATTGGAGATGACACCTAGAGTTAAAAAAAACAGGTATATCATTCGAACAAAAGGACATTCATACCCTTCACTTCCAATCCTAAGATTGTGAGTTTGAGTCACCAAGGGAGCAAAAAGGTGGGAGCTCCTAGGAAGGGGCAAGAAAAAAAAAGGACATTCATATGTTAGTGATGTAACAAAGACCCTAGTATACTAGTGCACACATTTCATGGTTAAAGGAGGACGGAGAGGCTCAAAGTTAAATTGATTATGTTTGCTCGTAAAATCTTGACTCATGAAATTTTTTATATTATATTATCTCAAAAGTTTCATGGATAAAATCTATGTAAATTTCATGGATGGTCACATAACTATCACTTTTTTTCATAAAAGTCACTTAACTATTATTTCTAACAAAAAAGTCTCTAAACTTTGAGTATACTAACACAAAAATCACACAACCGGGAAATACTAACTTTCTGGTGGATAACTCATTTTTTGCTCTTCTTTAAAAAGCTAATAAATAAAAATTCAATTAAAAAGCTTCGACCCGACCCAAAACCCATATGTAGAAAGTAAATAACCCTTCATATTCTTCCCTTTTCCCTATCATTTAAACATGTTTGGTTTGAAAAAATAATGGTAAACAAAATAACTTCCATCCAGATGAAAATATTTGCTACCGAACACTAGAAAATACCTTCCTAATTAAATTATTTACCTTAAAATTGACTTCTATCATACAAAATAAGTAACTTTTTGTTTTGTTTCATATATAAAACAGTAGAAAAATAATCTCATTAAACCTTGCAATTAAATCAAACAACAATGTTGCATTTGTCCACTCCAGGTAAAGAGACAAGTCAAAGAAGAAGAATACTATTCATATATGCCTTTTCTTTTTGTTGATATTTAATTGGACATGGAATGTATGATGTTCATTTAAATTTATAATAATAGTGACAAACATTATTAAGGTGATGATCAAAATTTTGATTTAGTATAGAAAATATCAAATAAAAATAAATTTAAATAGTTAGATAAATACAATTCTTAAGAACTATATGAAAAAGTGGTTTATAAGGTGCTAGTAAATTTTATATGTTAAACATATTTAGATTCTCCACAGTACTAAACATATCATATGTTACTGCAAGACATATAGAGTAGTATGCGTTTTGAAATATATATAACAAGTAGCAGTAGTTATAATAGTTGAGATTCTTCAACTAGTTCCAATATTAACCATTAACAAAGAATAGAAAAGAAGTAATTGAAACATTTAAACTTTTTTGAATAAAGAATGTGAAAGATTAAAAATCAATATGTGAAAAATATGTGATAACATCTATCTATCTATCTACCTATTTATATATATTTATATATATATTATTATTATATTATATTATACTACCTTAAAAGGATGAACTCCCCTAACTTGAATGTTAATTACTATAATACCTCCAACTTAAAACATCCAATTTAGTGTATCTTTTTATATTTTATATTATCTTACATTTATTATATTGTAAAATATATCAGAAGCCTATAATTTTTCACATTAAAGGTTGGGACTTTTTCAAAAAGTTTTGACTTTTCCAAAAAGTTGTGATTTCTCCATGATTTGTGATCTTTTCAAAGGGTTGTGACTATTCCAAATGGTTGTGATTTTTCCCAAGAGGTATGACTTTTTTAAAGCGTTGTAAATTTTTGGATGAGTTGTGACTTTTCTGAAGGATTGTGTCTTTTCTAATAAGGCACAATAAGCACATGTTCATATTACCTTTATTGCTATAAATAAAGGGTTAACTCATATTTTTAAACTTCAAATTTTCTATGTTGTGTATTCTTTTTCTTCTTCTTCTTAAAACACTCAATTCAGTACATATTCTATATTTATTTATAATATAGTATAAAATATATTAAAAGAAGACACTTTTTCACATTGAAGGATTGTGACTTTGAAGGGACGCAAGAGTTGAAGAAACGGGTTTTAAGGTAAAAATACAATATGGGTAAAAAGCCCCAAAGTACGGAAAAAAAAACATAAAAGTAAATTCCAGAATTCTAAGGGTGCCACGTAGACTGGCCTAGAATTTTCTTTTATATATATAAGATTCAAACCAAACATGTTAAACTGGTAGGGAAAAAGGATTAACTAGTATGAAGGGTTATTTATTTTCTTCAAAAGTGAGTTATCCACCAAAAGTTAATATTTTCCTATTGTGGGATTTTTGCATTAGTATGCTCAAAGTTTAGTGATTTTTGTGTTAGAAAGGATAGTTAAGTGACTTTTGGTTAAAAAAAAGTGATAGTTACGTGCCCATCTATGATATTTACCCGATAAAATCTTGAACTTATCAGAGTGATCTGCTTTTGGCCCTACCTCACTTTGAAGGACTTTATTTACACTCTTTAGGGGTCGTGGTAGAGTGTATTAGCAAAAATAATGCATGCATTAACTTTGTGTATTAGTAGTACCTTGTTTGGTACCTTTTCATGCTATATATAATTAATGCTTGCATTAGTATACATTCTATTGTGTATTGAGGAATATATTACTAATACCATGAATTTCTAGGTATTAGTAATGCAAAGAGATTTAATACATGCATTAGCATGATTAAAGACCTAATTACTTCTCAAACCCCTTTTACATCTTTTCCACTAATAATTGTGGAGGATACACTTGATTAAATACATATTTTTATGCAATGCATGCTTTTATTAATATACCAAACAAAACAATGCACACAAAATATTTTATATATAATTAATGCAAACATAACTAATCAAGCATTACTAATACACTCTATTTAGCATTATTTTTATACACCTTTTACTGTGATCTGTGTGTTGCAAATTATTGTTGATCATTGTTTCTCATTCTTTTCAATCAGTTATTAGAATATATTTTTTTGTAAGGCTTCTGTTTGTTCCAGGATTGTGTGTTTTTGTACTATGGGTGTAATGATAAACAGATGGAACAATCTTGTTTGTGTCCTCATTCTCAAAATACAACGTACTTTGGGTAGTTGTTGAATTTGTTGTTGTTGGGTTCAGTCTATCTCTTAGACTCATACTGATGATATATGATAGTCATTGTTGCTTTCACTGTTCTGAAAACTAGAGAGGAAGTGTTCTAATTATAATTATCATTTTTCACCTTTCTTGACCTGATCGTGTGAAACCCTGTTCCCACAAGAAGCCCAAAGTAAAGGAAAGACTAAAGAATAAAACAACAAAATGCTTTAGACTAAACGTTTACTTGGATCATAGGTGTATAACATGTTTTCCAAGTAAACGTTTGATGTTCCTTTTCTGGAGAAGCCTAAGGGGTTTCCTGTCTTTAACAAGACTGGGCAACTTTTAGGTTATTACGCCTCTTGGGACCACTATAAATAAGGGGAATTCAACTGTTGCCCCTAAAAAGAGTTGCTTTCCATGTATGTTGGAATATGCTATCTGATGCATTACACCCTTTACTGACCAATTTTTTCTATTTTTGTCCTGATTCTATTCAGTCTCTTCCATTCTTATAGAATAAAATGCTGTAATTTGCAAAGAAAAAATGGTTGTTATTTACTAATTGGAAAAGGCCAATCTGAAATTGTTACTCACTCTTTTTTATAGACCTGGTAGGGGAAGTGATAGTGAAGCAGAAGATTTTGAGCATGCTGAGAAGCTACGTCAAGTTAAAGCAGTTCTTGAGGAGGTCGACACTATCTTCTTGCTCTATACATTTAGCATGTCATACTGTCATTGTTAATACATGTTGTAATGCAAATTATTTTCATTTTCTTTTCTTAAAAAACATGAAAGGAATATCGTAATAAGCTAGAGGATAAGATCTAATATATTTTACTTTTAATTCTTTACTTTCTTCGATATCTAGGTTATGTCATTCCAGATTATAATTTATTTTGAAGTAACTTTTGTTACTTTAATTCCTTTGTGTCCTCCGCTTTGCTTTTGGGGTTACATGCCATTCAACAAAGAGTGAAAATAATTGAAGTTATTAAATTTGGGACATTGAAAGGTGAAACCTTAC